AGCTCACCTTTCACTGGCCCTGCCCACTGTCAAATGTTACAGTCTCAGTATCTAAAGGCATGCTTCTGCTCACTTCAAATTAAAGGTGCATTGTGTAACTTTTCTGGTGGAGGATCCATCAAATGCTTTTCTCTGTGGAGATGTTATTGCTTGTCTGTTACTGTTTCACAGTATGGTATTAAACTTTTCTGTCTTCACGGAAACTAAACCACACCAAGTTACAGGTCAGGTTTGTGGAGAGGAGACCCCGCTGACAGTCAGAATTCCTGTTTTTGTATGTACTTTTGAGCAATAAAAACACCTGTAATTTAATAAATGTAAGGTAGAGTTTAATGTCATACTGTGGAGTATTATCAGATGTCACTTGAATTGAAAATTTGTCCTGAAATTCATGTTGAAAAACTTTAATCACTGCATCTACATAGTTTTCCTAAAGATGCTCGATCCATAACAGCGTGACAGCTTGTGTAGTCTGATCCTACCAAAGCTCCACACTGCTTCTTCTTTCATAGTTTAGCCCAAAAACAAATATCTTCTCCCTAAAAAATGCGCGTATCGTATTGCTCCTTGTAGACGCGTTATGCCCAAACAAATTCCTCTCGTTTCCAACACGAGATGAGATAAAGCGAAGAGGAGCTATGCGTACGATACCCAGAGCGGGGCTGATCCGCACTGTACCAGATTTGTTCTCCTAACAATCAAATAAGTTTCTCATTAGCTTGACTTTATTTTTCCTCATTCCTGCGGTTTTGCTGCAGTGGCCTGTTTCTTCCCCTTCTTAACGAGACAGAGCTAATTACGCAATCAGACCCATTACTCTTCCAGAAGAGTTAGAGCTAGCCCGGCTAATTAAGGCTGTAAAATCTAATCATCTCTGCGAAACAGCGGCAGGCTAACGAGGCCTTGTTTAACGAACTAAATAACTTCAAGGGTGGAGAGGGGCGGCTGATGCGATTTCGTTATGAATTTGAAGGAGGGGAATGCGTGATAATTGAGTCAGTTTCAGCCCCTCGCAGTTGTTTGTTTGTTTATGAATCCCTGATTATTACAACTGCCAAGAATATATTGCTGCTAAATGAGCAATCGGTACAGTACAGTGCAAAAGTCCCAGGCAGGGTTTTAGCAAAGGTTATGAACAAAGATGAATCAATACTTAAGGACACAAAAATTGCAACCAAAGATTAAAAAAACAAACAAACAAAAAAAACTATTGTATCTTCAGAGGGCATGTGTGGACCCTAATCAAGGTATTGGGCCTATCTCGCAATGAAGAATATTTCCAGACATTACCAGTCAAAAGTTTGGACACACGCTCTCATTCAGTGTTTTTTTTTTATTTTTTATATATATATATATGCTTACTACTTTCTACATTTGATATACAAACAGAATACATCAGCTATATGAAGTAAGATGTATGGAATTATATTCAAATCCTCAAAGTAGCCACCCTTGAAAAATGTTTATCAGAGTTATTTAACTTTTTTTCTTTACTATATAATTCCATATATCTTGCTTCATATATTTGTAGGAAGCAGTAAGAAAAAAATTAGAGGTAGTAGAAGTAGTAAGAAAAAAAAACAAAAAACAAGATGATGTGTCCAAACTTCTGTCTGATGATGTAGATTCAAAATCATCTTCCTATAAAGTAAAAGCTCTTTTTGTATGTTGGTTTTCCTCTAGAAATTAAACAGTATGTATGCAAATTACACCTCATTATAATTTGTTACGTATATGACGTTCTACTTAAGAAATTCATATTAACAATTTTCCCGCTTGTGTTTCAATATAAAACTTGTATTTCTTTTACAGCTAAAACTAAATATTGAGAGCAAGTTATTATCTTTGGTTCCTGTCTCAAAATTGTGTGCATGACCATTTATGTATCTTATAATCAAGACAAATACAACAAAATGAAATCAAATCTATGTAATTTTTCACACAAATCTAAACAAGCCTGACAAGTTCTGATGAAACCATTTCTTCTTTCTTTTACTTTCAAACTTCCAAGTCCCCTCCGCTCCCTCTCTCCCTCTCTCTTCTCTCTCACCTGACCTATTTTGCTGTCCAGAAAGAGGAAAAATACTGATATCTCGGCTGTTGTGTTCACCTCCCCCTTGTTCTAATTTGTTGTTCGTTAATGCTGGCCTTCCACCTGAGCCATTAGGAGCCTGGGGAATAGAGAGGAGAGCGTCCACAACAAGCATCGAGAGAGTGGAGGCTGCGTCAGAAACATAACAATAAAATAAATAAATAATAATAATAATAGTACTAATACATTTTATTATATAGTGCTTTTCAGGACACTCAAATAAGCTTTAGAAAACAAATAAAAGGCAAACCGATGAACACAGCCAGTGAATTTGTTTGGAAGTTAAAGATCACATCAACTGATCTCGAGCTTCGAACTGGATTTTGATACTAAGCAATAGACTTGAAAAAGCAAAAGAATCCTACCTGGACATCTAAGGGATTACGCAGACATCTTGTTACTTCAAACTAATTTAAATTTGACAATGACAATCATGCCACAATTATTTTCAACACAAAATAATAATGCTTTCTTTATGTTAGCTCTAATCAAAATAAAGATCATTCAAAACCTGTTCAGGAAAGGTCAAATTTTGTGCTCTTTATGCGATTTTTATAGTACCAATACTTGCTAAATTGTAATACTTTTTATACTAGTCTGACAACCCTACAAGGAGCATGTAGGTTTTACGGTGACGTTAAAAAAAGACAGAAGAGATTTGCTGAGACATGACAGGAAATAATACACAATGCTTTGACTGGCAGTTGAATGAATGTTGTCAATAAGGAAGAAAAACAGATTGTACTTGAAGATGGACTGCTCAGTTGTGATGAGAGACGAGAATTGCTTGTGTGCTAATCTAGGTTATGATCCAAATATGGCATTAATGATTTAAGTTGGTTGATATTTACATTTATTAATAAAACAAAATAAAAATACAAAAGATATAAAGTATAATAACTACAGATATGTGTTGTTAGGAGAGATAAACTATTGGTTAAAGTTATTGGGTATTGTGAAAAAAAAAAAATCAATACTCCAATAATCAATACTAAAACGAATATTGAAAGTAGATACTAACTTGAGCATGCATCAATACTGAAAAGAATCACATAAAACGGACCAAGTTTGACCTTTCCAGAATAGTTTTAGAATGGTTTTAAACTATATTACAACTTGTATAAGCTCACTACTATTTTTGGTGTATAAAAAGAGTGTTTTTCTTTATCATTGTGGTATCAAAATCTAGCATCTAGTATCAACATTTTACTTCAGAAATCAAACTCGAAATTTCACTACTGCTCCAACACTACTAGTGGTTGTAGATTGGGTTGTGACAGCAATAGTAAAATCAGACGGTTCAACTTTACACCAGAAGGATGTAAAAATGTGCACTGATGAGAAACTCAACAAGTCTGCCCCGCGGGGAGGGTAGAAGAAGAAGAAGAAAAAGGGGTAAAAAAGTGAAGAGAGTGGCCCATGCCGAGAGTGATGGGCAGGCATGTTGTCTAAAGGGCACGTGGCCGGGTGCAGCTGTCTCCAGGAGCGCTGAGGTGAGGTCTTCCGCTTCAATGGAGCATAACCACGGTGACGCACACACATTTTTACACACGCACAATCGCACACACACACACACATAGTCACACATACAGGTATAAAAAGAGTAGCTTTTGACAGAGCAGCAGCGCGAGTAGGACAGCTGTGTTCATCAGATAGCACAGGTCACTGCCTCATTAACACTCACATAAATACACTCAAATGAGAACAAAATCTGAGCACTGGGAGACTGAGCATTACAGAGTCTATTATAGTCTATTACGGTTTGAAAGGGGTTCAGAACTGTCTGGGAAATTGTCAGATAGTGCAAGAGACTGCTTCATTTACAGTTAACAGTCACAAAATGATTTCTGACATGGACAAAATCCCTGTTTTAAAACTACACTGACTTTATTACATAGGCCTAAGTTACTGAGTCATTCTATTTAAATAATAAAAAAGGGGAAAAAAGTCTAATATTTATTTTTTGACAGTACAATTCATTCACGAAGAAAAAAAACATGCTAAAATGATAGACAAATAAAAACTTAATCAATTTGCTATATATAATCAGAGAGTCAATTAACACCGAACAAAACATTTGAAAATTGGATACTACATAAAAACTGATCGTTATAATTTTAGAATAAAATTTTAGCAATACATCACCAACAATCCACTCAAAACTGATGTAATAATAATTCTTTCTAAAATATTTAAAAACAGGAAACATTAAAGTCTGGAGATTCTAACAGGAAAGGTCTCCATGGGCCTTGCATCTGCACAAGTCTAAACAAATAGTCAGTCTCACAGCACATGCTCACCACACACACTGCACCATCCCGCCATAAATCTGCAGGCGTTTCACTTTATTTGACTCAGTGTAAATCTAGCTAGGCCTCGGCATCAGTCAGCGGTACTTTATGACAGGGGCGCTCAAAGAAAGTACTGAAAATGTCACGGAGGGGGGCAAAACTGCAAATAAGTTCATTCAAGTGAGATTTATTCACTGGGCTGCAGCAGTAACCCTAACTACTCATCAGCTACGCCATCAGGCCAACCGCACTGACAGTCCTGTGACCACACTCAAAGCCAAACTCAGCCTCTTCAAACTGGTAAAATAATATACGCTAATGAGTCACAAATTTGCAAAGGATTATGGTTAGTGGACTTTAAACAATGTGGTTTTTAAATGTTTTTTTTCTTTGTAATTTCTCAAATGTTTTAAGCTGTGGGAAAGTAGTTTCCAGTTGACAGTATATGTTTATTACTTTTTAATTAAAGTAAAAAGATGGCGACAATGGGACAATTTTCTATAATGTATCAAAACATATCCTAAATGTTTATCCAACCTAAGAAATATGTAGTGTTAATGTTACCAACGTCAACAATGCATCATGTGTTCAAGGGTCAAAGGTCACAGTTTTCTTACCTGTCGATGATGACAGGGTCTGACGGGGTCTCGTTCCTGTTTCCACAGCTTTTCTTATCACAGCATCGACTGCAGCAGGCCAGGCAAAAGACAGAGGAGGAGAGAGTTAGAGATCACTAAGAGAACAAGTGAACACACAGCAGGAGGACTGGACTCAGGTGAGCAAACAGGAGCTGTGGAGTGCAGGGCGTGAGAATTAGTGAGGTTTAAGAACAACACAGAGTGGATTCAAAGCAGTAAGTACACAGCTCTAACACTGCTGCTCCACAGATCAGGGCGATTTGGGGAAAAGTTTTGGCGAGCAGATAAAGCTGTGAGCTTGAACACAAACTTGAATTAGCCTCCAGGGCTCAGGTTAGCTCCATTTCTGTCAGACATCACACAGCAGACATCTTATGTTCTCTATTTTCCTCTGTGCTCGTCCCCTCCCTCCATCCCGCCTCTCTCTCCAGCTCTTTCTCGCTCAGAAGTGGGTCACAGAGTGGTCCCACTGGACCTGGGGAGTAGTGCATTCTGGGTAGAAGGGGGTTGCATACTGATGTGACGAGCCTTTTCTGAATCATTTGACTGCGGCACGTTACATTGTGTTGTGTTGTAAACCTCCTGTTTCCCCCAAAAGTGCCATTGGGCCTATGGTGCCTTTCTACTCAGAGTTTGTGCTTTACCTGCTCCCGATTCATGCGCACTACTGTACAGAGAGGAGGGGAGCGGAGGAGAGTGGAAAGCGGGAGAGAGGAGAAGAGAGGAGAGGGGGAGAGAGGAGGAGAGAGGAGGAAAGAGAAGAGAGGAGGGTAGAGAAAGGGAGAGGAGGGGAGAGGAGGAGAGAAAAGAGGAGAGGAGGGGAATGAAGGGGAGTGAAGGAGAGGAGGGGAGACACAAAGAGAGAGGGGAGAGTGACCCTCCCCCTGCTTTCTTCAGTCCCTCAGGACAGAAGGCTTGGAGAGCCAGATCAGGTTTCTGATCTCAACTGTTTCCTGCAGCATATGAAAACAAGTGATCTAAATTGCCTTGTGTGATAAACCAGGAAGTGACTAGGCTTTGCCACTAGCCATTTGTGTACCTTGTGTTCCTACATGACGGTCTTTTGAGGGATGCTGTGTTGATGCTTTTATTGACTGAAATCGTGGAGTGCTTGGCTTGCTTTAGTACATTTGAGTGCATCTGTATTTTATGTGTAATTTGAGAAGGTCTCCCCTCGCACATAGCTCACTGTCAGGACACTGCAAACTGCATGTATTACACAGACTAAGGAGGATGGCTTTGAGTAATGAGCTTTTCCTTGTCCTAATTAGCTGAACATGAGAGAGATGCACACACAGACTTTCACATGAATTTACACATAGACACACGCGCATTCTAACAGAAATAGGCCAGGGCCCATCTCCCCAACCCACTTTGAAGAAAATTATAAGATTCCTATTGTAATTTAGCAGTGCTCCCTGTGTCTCCCCCCTGTTCACACCAACAGAGACACCTAAAAGAGCAGAAACATTTATCTTCCTCTGCTCTGTGGAGTAATGGCCACTTCAAACCTGACAGCTCCAGCTCCTTACCTGCACATGATCTCATGGGTCAGCAGGACGCGGCACATCTCCGGGTTTTTATCTTGGCCCTCATACACAATTGCCTGAGGACAGAAAAATACAGACTTTTTAAGTGTTTGGTGCAGCGATAGAGGACAGATAAAACAGAAGTGTGTTTTTAATCTGGAGTAGGAAGAACTGTGCTGGCAAAAATGTGTATCGTGGGAATCCAGTTAGTGAGCGGGGACGCTGTGTTCTGCGACAGTAGAAAACATGATGTGTGCCTGTGTTTGTGTGCATGTATGTTTGTATTTGGAGTACAGTGAGCAGTTGGACTGCCAGACTGAGTATAGTGCACCATCTGGTCCCTACAGCGCCGCGTCCAAAAATCTAGTCTGGTTACCCCTCCAACCCCACTCAACATGCTCTCTAGGGCTGTGATCACCCTACGCAAACACCCAGCCACATTCACTAACTCATGCCCTCCTACTTTCATTTGAAGCTAACTCCTCCAGCCCAATGGCACTAGCGGCACAATTGGCAAAACAAAAGACCGGAAATCAAAACATCGTTGAAGGGGCATGTTTTCTTGGTTATCTCATTCATTCTAATGGAGAATCCCTTTGTGTCCATGGGTCCACATGTGCTGCTCTGTGTTTTTGTTTGATTGAATTGGCCATAACACACCCTGGGATAGTTTGTTCTGTTTCACATTGAGGAAATGAGGGTCAAGGTCCTGAAAGAGTGAGCTGGCATGCATCACTGTCTCTCTCACACACACGCTCACAAACACATCCTCACAGCAAACTCAGAACACAGAACAGAGTGCCGGCTCACTGCAGAGGCAGGCTGGGGACACATGTCCTCTACTTTTCTGGGCCTCTGTAAATGTATTCCACAGGTACGACAGCTCGTTTATCACGCGCTGTGTACTGCTGAAGTTGAGGGTCTGAGACAGAGGCATGCAGCGGGCAGAGGGAGGGGCAGCCCAACACAAACGCCAAACAAACCCACGGTGTAATGGTCAGAGCATGTAGTTTAAAGTGACGCTCTCACCTGTTTAGTCATGGAGTCAATGAGACGCACATACAAGTCCTGCTCCGTCCTGATCCCTGGGACAGCACACAGACAAATGTTAGACACAAACCACATGTTTTCAATCACACAGGACGTCCTGCAGGCACTACGCCACAGGTACGCCACTATCACGCTAATGACTGGCACAATTACATGCCTACTGTCAGCAGTCTCATTCCATTACTACACACAGTTTTAAAGAAATGTATTTAATCAGTTAAAACTGTAATTTACAATAATAATTTGTAATACAATATTAAAATAAATAGTCTACAAAAATATAATAATAATAATAATAATAATAATAATAATAATAATAATAATAATAATAATAATAATAATACATGTTTATAACTTTAAATTCAAAATAATGTTTCCCACAACACAATGTAAGCACTTTGATCTCTGGGCATGTTCTGTCCGTGTGGCTGTTTGTGGAGCGGAGCTGAGGGACTCGAGCCTCGTCTAACGCGCATTTCCAGAGTTTCCTCACTTTGTTTGGACGGATCATTCTCTCAATGCATTGTTATTGCTTCATAAAAGATTATGGAAGCCCGACTCACCGTTACTGTAGAGGAGCTGCAGTCTATAATGGATCCCATTGTTGGTCTTTTCCCCCGTCGTTTCCTATGAAAATTAAACCAAACAGCACGGTTTAGTACCAAGGCTAAACACGCACATACAGCCCCGGTCATCAACTCCTTCGCGGGACTTTTACTGCGAGCGCCACTGTAATAAAGCTTGTATTTTTTCGACATTGGGCTACCGACACACTACATGGCTCTTTCAGTGTAAATAAATCAAATCACAGGCTCGTTTGGCGGTTGTAAAAAGAAAAGAAAGGGCTCAGTGTAACCTGAATAAATTATCTGAGGAAATACTGGCTACTGTGTCAGAAAACGTGAAAAGTCATATTAAACTTTGAAACTTGGTCTTATGGGCCCGGTCCAACAGCCTACTGCAACCCCTAGTGTCGTAAATAAAGGTCTCAAAGGACAACGCTGCACAAATGTTACATTATAATTAACGATGGCGCATAAAACACACTAATAGTGGTTTTCTTTCGACTTACTGCTCACGAGACGCTTCCTAATAACTATTTTAATGTGATCAACTTTATTATATTTTTGTATAGCCAACAAAACAGGCCCACGGTCATTACTTAATTAAAATAGCTTTAAAATATGCAACGTTTGTATTTGCATATTGTTGTTTTAATACAATCCACAGGGCCTATTATGTATTATTGATAAATCACTTCGCAGCCCACAAATCGCTGCCCATCTGTGGAAGGACATTGGTTTTTATATATTAATAATATTAATAAGCACAGTAGGGCAAATAAATAAAACAGTTATTTAGCTGCAGTTAAACGCGTTGATACATATTACATCTCTAAAAATGATATTGATGTTTGATTTAAAAATCAGATGTCTGACACCAGCAGAGCAGCAGGACGCGGCTTCACGCTGTGCAAACTGTCATTACAATAAAGTCAAATGTAGCGAGGAGCAGATGCTGAGTGGAAAACTTTACCTGGCATCTGAACACCGGGTAAAAGAGAAATATATGGAGCAATTATAAGTAAAGGGTATGCTGAAAATCTCAACAGAAGTGTGGTCCCTGCTGTGCGTCTGGATAATTCATCAGGGGGGTTTAACGGGCCGTGTTAAACTGTCATTTGATGTGCGTAAAGTTTTGTCTCTTCACCCACCTTTTCTTTTTCGACAAAGTCCACAAAAGTCGTCCTCTCTATCTCCACGGGCTGCCCCTGTCTGTCATACAGCGCCAGGACAAAGTGGAAGAAGTTGGACTTGCGCAGGTTGGAGGGCGGCTGCTTCTCGAAGTGTGCCCGCGCGAGACCCACGCCGCTGCAGACACAAGAGCCACGAGGGCCCGCGTAAATAAACAGCCGAACTTTGAAATAATTTGTCGAAATGCTTTAAAGAAAATTGAGTCCAGTTGCAAAAAAAAGCTAATACATAAATTAATACTAATAATTTAATAAAATAAATAAAATAAAAAATAAAAATAAAAAAATTGAGTGCATAAATTGTAAGTACTGTCACTCTTGCAGGCACATTAAATTAAATATTCTTTTTTTTTTTATTATTCTTAATTGGCACGAATAAAGACCAAACATTTGATTTAGAGTTACTTGTTTAACTTGTAAATAACTTGTGCAAACTTGAACTTTAATGCTTATCAAAATGATTCTTCGAGGTTTTACGCGTGCATGCTTTAAAATGTGCACCTTTGTAAAAATATGAAAATCCATTAACAAAACTATTCTAAAATGCCCTGATTGAAACTGACATTGGGACTAAAGTTGATCGAAACTATTGTATGGAGTGCAGTGTGGTTTCCCTCTACATTAGCCCACAGTGTGCTCGCGTTTAGAGTCACATTTTGAAAAAGCCAGAGGGAATTATCCATAACTCCGCTGGTGAGAAACACATGCGACTTCCCGTTACGCACACCGCCTCGGATCTGTGCGCGCACGGGGCCGCCTCGGGCTCACCTCTGGGCGGCTGTGTTGGCGTCCAGCACTCCGGCGCCCTGCATCCATGTCCGAACCGCGTTCATCCCGGCCACCATGGGCTCTTCTTTCATACTACTCCCACTCCTCTGGATGCTGTCGTGGATGCCAAACATCAAAACGCACCTTCGCACAGTCTCTCACTCTCTCTCCTCCTTTCCTTTGCTCGTTCCCTGCCTCCTTCCTCTTCCTCCTCTTCCTCTGTTTGATCGCGCTGTCACAGGAGCAAAGTGCTGTGGTCTATTTCACTTTAAGTTGCTGTGCAGCGCGCCTGTGTGTTGTGTGTTGCTCAAAGTAAACAAAAAAGACGCGACATGTGGAAGGAGCCGACGGCATCCAGGGTTAGCTGCGCTTCATGTCAGCAGCTCCAACAGAAGAACAAGACAGAAAAGCGGCAAAGGGCGGAAGATGAAGCTGATGAGAGCAAGATGAGAGGATGTGCGAAGTCCTCTGGATCAAGGTGACAAAAATGCAACAAACAGTCCACAGCGAGGATAACACACGCCGCTCCTTTGCGCCACTTCTAAAAACTCTTATGAATGAATCGCGCAATTACATTACGGGGCTTCCAAACAACCTCCTTCCCCCTTGAGGAATCACTTTGGACCATCTCTGGGATGCCAAACAGCGGAGGAACTAGTAGGTGAGGTGGGCGTGGCGTGCGCGGTCAAATGGGAACGCCTCTCACAAACACACAGTTAATAACGCGGACATCAGCTGCCCACCAAACCAGAGCTGCCTGCCTGCTGTCCCCGCCTAGTCCCACGCACGCTCGCCCCGGCTGTCCCGCCCCGGACCTGTCTTACATATGTTTGCAGTCGGCAATTAACGCGCTCATCACTTTATTGCTTTCCGCGAAACATCAATTCAGGACTGGACATTATTTAATGCGCATTGGCTGCACGAAAAGACCAAAAAGAAGGATAGCGCAGCTGCTTTCTATTGAAAAGGATACTGACTTATACTCTGACTTGTGTGGGAAATGTCACCAAAATAACTTATTATTGTTACTATTAAACCATCGGCAATAACGTCACATACATTTGTAATTCATCTGCTATTATTTATCTTGGCAGTGGTTTGTCCAAAATAATTATAATTTTTCAAGTCATGATGTTCAAGTCCATAAAACAGTAGAGTTAATAAATATGTAATAGATTTGGGGACAGATAAATAATTTATGGCATGTCCAAATTACCAATGAAAAATTGTTTTAAAACATCTGAGATATAAGAGCATTTTATCTAATCGTTCTCCTGAGAAAAGTTAAGAGGTAAAGTTGGTTAATTATTTATGGCCAAGTTTAAAAGTCTGTCTCTCTTTGAAAACCTCTGAGCTTTACGCACGCGTGTTCCTCTTGTATCGCGTTTAAAATCTAAATTGTTATAAATTAGTTATGGCATTTAAAAGTGATAAGTTATTCCCATATAACGCAATAGATGAAATGCGCGGTGCAAGTGTTCAGTCGGGGTATCAATACAAGATTACGCATCTTAGGAAACTTTCAGATCACACATAAAAAATGAAATAAATAAATAAAAAGACTGGGATTCACTGTGCACACTTCCTTGCGACAGCACGACGATTTGAAATGAGCTGTGATTTGATGCATTACAGAAATCTTGCGGGACTCAGCGTTGAATCCAACATAAATATGAGGATTATGGTTAAACTGCGCTGTCCCGTTGCCCAAATAATGCTCCCCGCTAAACAACACGAAGGAAAAAGAGAGAGGGAGAAAAAAGCTAACTAAAACATTTGCATGAAGCTCAGAGAAGCGTGAAAGTGAACACTGGGTTCACATATGCACGGAATATGTCTATTATATGTCTGCAGAAGCTCTATACTCATGCCCCATCATTACAGAGCCGTTTCTAAATCAAATTGAATTGTACAGGGGCCATCTGTTCAGTAAGCCCCGTTTGGTTAATTACAATGAAATAGGAGAAACCAGGGCTGTTTTCTTATCACCAACTTATATTTAAAATTAAGATTATTAAGATTTTTATCCACAGTATTCCACGCAATTTAGACTGACACTTTAACCGGTGCAATTAAACACTTAAGAGAAACACTTGAAATGCATTAAGCACTTTGAATATAAAGTCATTTACATAGGACTGCTATAACATCCAGGATGAAACAGCAGCATTTCTGATTCATTTCTGATTGATTCATTTCTTAAATTGTTATTGTTATGTAGGCTATAGATAATTTCAACCAAGTTATTTTGAGAGAACTGAGATCATTTTGTAGGATATGCGACAAAAACACAACAATTACATTTTCCAAACTTGTCACAAACGGTCAGGGTCTCATCATTGTCTAGGAGGCCAATGTGTTTATTTGTGACTGCTGTTGTGGGAGGAGGAATACGATCGGTCCACCACGTGAGTACACGAACGACACAATAAATAGTGACAAATAAAGCCAACGTGACACGAGAACTGTCTTTTACGCACACGTCCGGAGCGATCCTTCACCACTTTTGTTTGATTGTGGCCGGTTGGTTGATCTGTCTGTCCCGTTCGGCATGCTGTGGGGGGCCGGCGGACAGTGAGAGCGAGACCCCATGGGGTGAAATGTATTTATATCTCTGGACAGCATCCACACACACACGCACACACACAGAGAGAGACAGACAGACACACACACATACACAGAGAGAGAGACACACACACACACTCACACACACACACAGAGAGAGAGAGAGAGAGAGAGAGAGAGAGACTGTTAGCCCAAATATCACCGTATCCAAAAACACAGATGTCAGTTGGGGCCCGCTGATCCGGACATGTTAATACTGTGATTTAGTAAGTCCATATTACGCACGGACAGGAATGTAATCAACTCTATTTCCCAGTTCAAGTGATCACATATGGGCAAGCTATTAAACCCTCCGCTCTGAGTTATAACTCAATAGATATTTTGAAGTTAAGTGATCAGAAAAAGACAGTTGTATACTCGCCTCCTACAGTCACCAGATGTTCGCGTAAATCAAAAGGTGGGGCCGATGATAATAATGGCCTGATTGAACGGAGGAATCGTAAAAAATGACTAGCTGTTAAAAGCAAGGCATGTGCTACGTTGAATGGGCCTTATGTCTAACAATATGCTCTCTTATCGACATGAAAGGGTACGGAAATAAATGTTTTTTTAAACAACAAAGTGCATAGAATGTAATTTACCTGAGTGACAGGAATACAAAAAGGCCCCGCGCGTTTTTCATTTGAATAAACTTGACAAAAATGACATAACTATAATGTAACTTCAACGTTTTGTTATTAATAATTGCAAAAACGCGCCCAGAAACTGATATTAACATTACATGAGCCGTTTGTTCCGGTGAACTTTTCCCTCCAGGTGACAGGAACACGCTCCGCTTACTCGCGAAGGGCCAGGAAAGACAATTTGGAGCAATGTTGCCATCTAGCGTGCGTAAAGTGAAGTTGCATTGCATCTTGGTATTTTCCTGGTGGCGTTTGCTAGGTTGTGAATAGAATGCAGATAAAGTGAGAGCCATCTGTCCTGTGGTTGTTTTCCTGCCTCTTAATTAACATGGTCAACGTGGAGGTGGGACAAGGTCAGAGAGGCGAAGGATTTACGAGAAGAAACATGTGATTGCACTAACCAAACAAACTGCAGCTCAAATATAAAAAAAAAAAAAAAATATGTATCTTTCCTTGCATAATTTGTTCTAATTAAATCATTTTTAAAACGAGTCATGTGGTAATGCAAAAAGTGCTCCACTGCGTTTTTTTTTTTTTTAACACTCCAAACACCTTCACTAGAATCGTTTAGATAATTTCAGCCCTGGAATTGTCTATTTCTGCTGAACTAAAGTTAAAAGGAAGCTGCAAACTTGAAAACTACAACTTCATGACATCACAAAGTGGAACAAAGGATTTTGAGCTTTAGAGATGTAGACTGCCCAATAATACAGGATTACTCCAACATGTGTGAATGAAACAAAGCACAACACGGGTTTTGATGAGGTAACAACATAACAACAGCTCTTAAGAGTCAGTTTAAAAGATATAACATCTAGGCCTAAACTTTCTGGTGGAGGATCTATCAACTTGTTCCACAAAATGGCAATATCTCAGTGGAGAAAATTACTACAGTACTACTCACTATTCACTCATTCACACACACACATTCACACACCAGTGCACCCAGACACTGGAGGAGAGGTGGGCTAGTGTCTTGACCAAGGATACAATGACAGCATTCATATTTGGGAGCTGGACTCACACTTCTAGCCTGTGAGCCAGTGGATGTGATCTCTACCAATGGTGTTTATGTCGCGAGCGGGTTTCAAACTGCCAACCTTTAGATCAGAGGTTGAATACTCAACAACCAACTGAGTTACTTCTACTTACTAATCCAAGATGTTGACACTCTGCTGTTAACAGTGTTTGGAAATAACTGAATACAAGTACTGAAAATACACATTCTGAAATGTAATTTTAAGTAACAGTGTCCTGGTACAGTTACTTTCTAATTTATTCAGAAGAGTTAAACTTAGACTTAGAGCCAGACCTAGACAAACTCTATTGATCCACAAGAGCAATGATTTGGACACAGTAGCTCACACATCACATTATATCATTATAACAAAGAGAAAAAATGTAAATGGTAATCATAATTTCTAAATAAGTAGCAAAAATATCAAGAGACTGGTGTCAAATAAGGCATAATTAAATAAATACATATGTACAAGTAAAAATTAAATAAAATAGAATTAAGTCATAAAAACATCTCAGCAATACGCAAGAGATCGTAGAGTTTCTTTTCTAAATTAAAACGAATACATGACAGTACTTCATCATGTATTTTGACTTTATACTGCAAGTTATTTGTGAGGAAAACAAGAAAATGCTACTCTTGCAATGGGTGTGCATGCATCTCAAATCAGACATAAGTTAATGCATGACAAAAAGGGCAACAGATATAAAGCAGTTTGTAATACTATGTAGTATCTGTTTTTACAGTATAGTATTCTGATTGGCCTATGTATCAGAATATGTTACAAAATAATTCAGGTATTCAATATTAATTTCATTGTATTCAATGTATTTTTTCTAAATTAAATGTGAAATGTGATGAAAATGTTTGAATAACTGTTTTTGCTATTCTGTCATGAAAAGTTTTGTGAGTTATTGTAATATTAATCAATGAGTCATCAAATTTATCAAACAACAAATGCATGTTTTATTTTGAATGCTCGAAATACACATGAATGGTTAATAGAAATAAATAATTAAATACACTAAACACACATACACAAATAAATATAACAATGGACAATTATATAGCTATATATGAATGGGGTCCAAACTAAAAGTCATTGTGAACAGCTGCACACTATGAGTTTTTGGAAAAGTCCTATCATAAAGAATAAATGGATGACTTTATTTTCTCCAGAAAACATCCCCAAATAATTTGGTAAAAATAACTTAAGCACATGATGTTACTTTCAAATCAGTTCAGCACTGTGGATTGTCCAGGCCACAGTAGGGAGATGACCATTAATTCCCCAAATAAAAGGTCAAGGCTTTAGTGGTAAAATGTATAAAATACTGGTGATGATGATGTGTCTTGTATGACTCACCATTTCTGCTTTTTCGTACACACAGTAAATGAAGGCATGGTTCACCTCAAACTTGAAGTCACAGCAGTTAAATTACTGTGACAATAAATGAGGGCTTTGGGGGTATTTTAAATGGAGAAGCAATCAAACAATAAAACTGACACATTCTTTGTTAACTGCCCAATCCCAATTCTAATTCTGAGGAACTCAATGAGAAAGCTGATTTGAACTCAACCTTATCTCTCTAGATCCATATTCAATACAGTGTGATGTTACACTGATATTAGAATCTGTCACATTTAATGAGACTGAGCCTAGGCTGCGTTTAAACTTGGTTTGATCCTGGTTGTAGTCAAATCTCTTTATATATTTTTTGTTTTACTTCACTAATATTTTGTGATATGTTTTTTAATTATATAAAAAGCTTATAAAATTTTATCTCTAAACTTGTTTTTCAATGATAAGAGAGAAAACTAAGGTCACTCCAGACAAGAATAAAACCACATGCATGTGGTTCTTTCAAATGTCATAACTCAAAAGCCAACCAGGTTTCAGTTCTGGATTTGTCATGTTTGCAATGGTGCACATTGACTCATGAGAACACTCATGTGGTGCAGCAGCGTAAAGAAACTATTCTGAGACAGGGCACCGTATGAAATGGTCATATGGTTACATTGACATTTAGCAATTTAAAACATGTATTAATGTAATATGTTACTAACTGTAATATGTTAAAATTCAAATTTTTTATCTTTTTCAGAATGCAGCCAACTAAAATGTTGTTTGATGCTCCTGGTTCTTTTCCCTTTTCTTCTGCTTTTTTCTGGATGAAATCCTAAGAAATGCACACATTTAATAACTGTTGTATAGCATTATGATGGTATGCATTATTGTACATGAAAAACACGTCAGCTAGTAACACAGACATTACCACCAACCTCTCCTGGCTCCACTCACTCCACTGTGAGTTGGAAAGAGCATCCTTGGCTCGGAAACAGACTGTGTTTCTCTTGCTTTTACGTTTACACCAACAGTTCTCAGTGCAGTCTACTGTTTTAATCTGAAAATAAACAAAAATATGACTATGTAAATTAATATATTACTCTAAGTGTGAATAAGTGAAATGAATAAGTTAAAAATGCTTTGAGTGGTTTTTGTTGTGTTTCAGATGCCATATAATTCTGTAGGCTAATAATATCTAATATGATTGGGGCAGCTAAAATTGTAATTAATGTATTTGATTAATGCAATTAATTGTAATTAATGTAATGTAAAATGTAATTAATTAATAATTTATTTTAACACCAAAAGAGCTGCTTTAGTTGGAGCTACTAAATTTGAGCTGATTTGTGTTGCTAAACAAGTCTCTCACACATAAATTTTTTTTTTTTTTCACACATTTTCTGAAATCTAAAATCTTAAAACGTTTTGGTCTGTGTACTAATGTGTGCACTGTGTCACCATGGTAACTGCTACATGTATCTCTAATAGTCAAATGTTTACAGTACCCCACCCCCCAGCATGATGTCACTGCAAAGTATCAACAGCAGAAACTGTCCCCTATCTGGCACTTTGACCTTCTGCCCAGTCTGAAAACCATCTGTTTAAAGAGAAAAGCTCTATGAGTGCCTTACCCTGTGAGCTTTTACAGAGTTACAAGGTTTTTCTTTTTTGAGCTGTATGATTTGAAAAGTGAGTGGAAAATAAGAATTAGGACTGTCCCATGATGTCGGATACGTCCACTCTATGGCTGTTTTGTTGACTTTACTAATTTGCACTTTGCCAGGTTTCACTGAAAAGGACAGAAACATGCAATAATAGAAATGCAAAAGAAACCAGTCAAATGTTGTTAATCTTGTGTGTGTCTTACCGATCTCAGACAAAAAAAAGCTCCTTGAGTAGTTCTCCACCAGGAAGTCGTTAACCACATCGACAGTGATCCGAATGAAATGGACTTCCTCAGCATAGGGGCAGTGCAGTATGTCTGTGCAGGAGATGCTGTTTCCATCAGGGTCCACAGAGCAGCTGATGATACTGTGGTTGGAGAGACAAGTCCACTGTCTGCCCTCTGAGTCTTCAGTGCAACGTGAGTCATGTGGGTCATGTGGGTTATCACTGTTGCTGAAAATAAGACAAGCACAGGTTTAATGAGAGGCTGAAATTCACAAATGTACAAGGTTTGTTTATTTGCTGTTAATTAAACTTGTACATATTAAGGTTGAGCTATATTTTAATGCCCCGTGGGGAAATCTGCATTTGACCCATCCTTTATTGCCACTGGGGCAACCTGTCTGTAGCAGTGGAGACCAGAGGGCCCTGAGGAAACCCACACAGACACAAGGAGAAACATGACAACAGACACCGTGATGGAGTTAATATTAAGACATATAAACTAGTTTGCAGGGATAATTTTCTTTTGTCTTTTTTTTTTATGTCTGTATGTTATGTTAAAGTTACTCCTCCCTGTACCAAGCCAAATTTCTCAGTAAGGAGGCGAAATAGACGAAATAAATCAAAGCATTAAATCTGAAACCTGATTACCCTAAATTTAAATACTTAAAGGTGCACTGCACAACTGTTCAGGTGGAGATTCTATCGCCCACTTGTCTTCATGGAAATGTTATTGCTTTGTCTGAATGTTCCATGGTATGACATTAAACACATCTTTCTAGCCTTTATTCATCAAGGGTGTTTCTATTACTAAAAAATACAATACTTTTCATCATGAAGAGGGATGACTTTCCACAGATCTGAAAAGTAATGTAGCCTATAGTTCTCCCTTGTGATAGATTAATTACTTTAGGTTTTAAGTTAAATATGTTTCACCATCCAGCAGGCTTTCTCAAAGGTTTGCTACAGAACACTCCTGGATGAGTGAGAGACTGTACTGACATGGCACATGCTAAAATGTTTTGATTTTCACAATGGCTACGCATGGATGAGCTTGAGTAAATAAAGGAAACAGTAACTCACCGCCAAACTTTGATCCAAGCCACTTTTCCATTACGACTGGGATGCCACTTCCAGGAGCACTGAAAGTTGCCGTTATAGTTTGGAGCAGAGCAGTGTATGTGAGCTACAGAACCAAATGAATATTAGCATTTGTGAAATCTATTATACATCTGCCCTGACGTTGTATTTGTTTGACAACATTTGCACCTGGTTCGAGGATCCTCTTGGTCTTGCCCTGGTCTGCACGGATCAGAACTGTTGTGTAGTTGAGGAGTGATCCGTCTGCATTGTGGCAGGTGTAATTTCCTCCTCCTGAAGACTCTTGTAGTGTGATAGTGAGTATATTTCCAGTTGACAGAGGTTTTCCTCCATTTTTTCTCCAGAAGATCCCAGAGCCCTTGTCCTCTCTGCTCAAAACCTCCTCCTCCGAGTGGATACAGCTGAGAAGATGATGGCCAACCTCTCCAGTCACCTCCAAAACTAAAACTAGTGCAATTCAGATTATAAAAAATCAAATCAGATCAGAATGAAAGTGCTGTTTAAAGACCTACCGTTGTCTTTGAGGGTCCAGTTTGTGGGATTTTGACTGGTGATGTGAAGTAATGACCACAGGGTGAAAAAGGCAAGCATCATCTGAGATAATAGAGCACACAGTTATAATTATAATAAAGCATATTAAATCAAGCTCAAATTTCAGTCATTTCTAACCATCAATGATCAGGTTGGATCTTTTTAATGAAGAGGTCCATAGTCGATTCTTTACTAAAACTTTGCCTATTTTTGTGTTAGATTGCATTGTAAAGAAGTCTGTATTGTTGGTGTTCAGGAAATTTATATCAAATTATTATTTATTATTTGTGTTTATTCAGATAAAATAATATCTGATAGGAAATAAGGGTTGATCAATATGAGTAAAATCAGATAATCCAATCAATATCAATAAATACGCGTAAAATATAATTGAATTAAAAATAGGCAAATAAAATAATATTGAAATAATTAGACCTATCAGTAGTGGTAATATCATATCATCAAAAATATCTTAAAATCTGATCTTACCTCGGCAATAACAGCGCGGGTCAAATGACGCGACTGTGATTTGAGTCCAGTTATAAACAAGATGATGACCGCAATAAACAACTGACCGAGACTTCCCCATCATCGCGAGGAAAAGTCCAGAGGAACTTCGCTTTCCAAAGGTAGGTCATCTGTCACCTTTTCACTTCCACTTGTGCTTCTGTGCAGTTATGCGAGTGCCTTTCTTACAACATCACTAATACCTGCCAGACCTGGGAATATTTGGAGGCCGCACCCGCACCTTTGTCGCCGTAGGCTAAGGTTTCTCGTGCGCATCCGGTGACAGTGTTTGTTAAACAGCTTTTACGGACCCAATCCTGTGCCATTTTTTGAGACAGTTGTTCATAAATGTGTCTAATCTGTATCTTTTCTAACAGGTCTAGCACGTATTTATATGCGTGAAGCGGTTACGTAGGGGTAAGGCAGGTGGGTATTGTGTTGTGAGCGCGCGCTGACGGCAGCCTGGTGTGACCGGTAGAACTCGCTCAAGTCCTAAGCAGATAAACACGTGCGCTGCAGCGCGCGAGGCAGACGGGAAAAGCTGACGGTGTGGCCAAACTATGGTGGGAATTTTAAAGCAGGAAAGGGTACATTATAGGTACTTTTATACATAGAACATAGCCTATAATTTCGCGTAAGGACCTATTTGAAGTTATTGTTTTAACTTTCAGAACAGAACAATGACTGTCTGCTTAGGCTGCAGTATCAAACAGGTATATATCCTATTAATTGTCAGCTCATGAAGAAGTATTTTGGATGATGTCATACAGTCTGTGGTATTTGTTGGCGTTGACTAGCCTATTCATTATAATTTAGATCAGGGACCTACAACCAGTAGCTCTCCAACTCCTGAATAACTCCAATTTGATTAATTACCATGGTAAATATATCCTTTTGGTGCCTAACGTTGTACACTAATAAATGGAAAATGATTTATGTTTTAAAAGTATCTAACTGCACCCCATCTAAGGCTCGCTGTGCTTACTCATTTTCTTGCAACCACTAACATAAGCTCTCAGGCATTTTTGTCTTGTTAAGGTAACAGTAGTTCACCGGAGGAAAAAAGTTGGAGACCCCTGTTTTAGATAAACATTACGATTCAGTTGTAGACGCTATAATGCATAATACTTTATCAATAAGTGCTAAATATATTCTTCTTATTATCCTATTATGTGACTAAATTAAGAGTTATGGTGCAACAATAGCCAAAAAAAGACAAAGAGAACTACATAAACATGAACCTTTGCTCCATTTCAGAGTAGACTACCATAAGAAATAACACATTAAGCACTTTTAAGTCTTAGTTCTTTGGATTAAGTCTTGTCAAGGCATTTAAAGAGGAAAAAGTAGCATATTTTTCACAATAATTCACAATAAATATCGTACCGTGAGATGTATATCGTGAAAATATCGTACAGAGAGATTTGGATATTGTTACATCCCTAATCGTGAGCCTCCACACCATGTCGTGAGCTTTCCCACGATATTGCAATAAATATCGTACTGTGATGATATCGTATTACAGACTTGGATATCGTTACACCCCTAGATCATACTAAACAATTATTCTTAATATGGTCAATTAAATGTAAGTAAAAGGTTTGTAAAGAGTGACTATCTATAGCCACTGACCTCTCCTTTTACTCGTGTAATGTGTCCCTTTATCCACGAGATGGCAACATAAGCCAATAGTGGTAGTCTGACACGAAGCAGGCAATATTTAGTTTAGACCCCAGACACCAAATTCTTGTAGGTGATCAGGTTTTCGTTACTGGCTGAACACATACACGTTTCCCTGCATGGATTCAAATGGTTTATGTGTTTGCATAAAGTGTGAGAGGCTGATGTTCTGCAGCTGTTTTTTTCACCATGGACCAAAACTAAAGAATTTCAGCCAGATGTTCAAAACAGCTGGAGTGAAATGACTGGAGTGATCTCATCTGTGAGAGGCATGGAAATAATACAGAGAGAGGAGCAGTGATGTAATGTGTGCAGTAGGGATACAACAGGAGTGAGCCATTAGTTATGTCCTGTTCAATACAATCAGGTTTTTATAAAATGTTAATGCAGATATGAGTTTAGCAAGAGTGAATTCTAGTAGTTAGTCTAATTGCTGTATTGTAAAATGTTGTAAAATATCTTTTAACATACACAGTCACATTAAAGGGCCCCTATTACACTATCCTCTGATCTACATTATACTAGTGATGTTGTTTCCTCACCACAAACATAAATGGAGTTGTATTTTGTCTCATTCACACATAAATCCTAGATATTTGTGTGGAATTCTCTCTCAAACTGAAAACACTCCACCTCCTGATGTCATGTGGTAATACAGGAAGAGCTCCACTGTATTTTTAAACTCCATACGCTTCACTAAAAAATGAAATAATGCTCTGTAAAACGTCTTTGTGACTAATGTCTGTGAAAAGTGCTTTATTTATACAGTAAGTCAATCTTTCTTACTTACTTACTTACTTACTTATTTTACTTACCCAAAAAACATGCTACAGGTCTCCAAGAACAGCTGATAGTCAAGGTCAGTTAAATACAATCAATTCAATCATTGTGTGTGTCCTTAGGCAAGACACTTCACCCACATTGCCTAGTATGAAAGTGGTGTGTGCGTGAGTGATGGTGATGGTCGGAGGGACTGATGGCGCCGATTGCCATGGCAGCCGCGCTTCTGTCAGTCTGCCCCAGGGCAGCTGTGGCTACAATAGTAGCTTACCATCACCAGGTATAGAGTGAATGAATAATGCTGAATAATGCTCTGTAAAGCATCTTGAGGACAGAAAATATTTGTGAAAAGCGCTATATAAATAAAGACTTACTTACTTACTTACTTATTTACTTACTTACTTACTTACTTACTTACTTACTTACTTACTTACTTACTTACTTACTTACTTACTTCACTAGAATCATTTGGATGATTTCAGCCCTGGAATTGCCGATCTCTACTGACCTAAAGGTAAAAGGTAGACGTTAACTACCACTACATGACATCACAATGTGGAACAGAGCATTTGGAGATTTGGAGAGGTAGAGTGACTAATAACAAAGGGTTACTCAAATGTGAATGAAACGAAACACTACTCCAGATATGTTTTTGATAAGGTATCAATATTATAACATGCCTTAAAGCTCACAAGAGTCAATTTTGCGTAATATAGGACCTCTAAATGATAATGTAACTTCAACTTGTTTAGTGTCAATGAATCAAATGCAATTATGGATATTAAACATTGAAAATTGGATTCAAACCTTTACAACTCTGATATTTCAACTGGTCCACCTGTCTTGAGTCTCACATTTTAATATGTGTGGTTTTATGTATTTTAGCATGTTAGTGTGCGTGTGTATGTGTGTGTGTGTGTGTGCGTGTGGTGTGTGTGTGTGTGTGTCTGGGTTGTTTGGTTGTGTTGTGTTTTTTGGTTGGGCAGCTGTGAGATTTGGGTGGGTGGGTGAAAGGAAATGTGGGATTGTATTTAATCACTGTAAAGCACTTTGTGTTACATTTTTGTATGAAAACGCTTTATAAATAAAGTTTGATTTGATATTTTCTATATGCACGGCTATTGGCAACTTCAAAATGAGTTTCCTTTTCTGACCATCTCAACAGTATATATTTACTGTAAATCTACTTATCAGAATGTATAGACCACACACCCTCCCTCTCAAACCCTGCCTGCTTTAAAGATTATTTGTAATTTAGGAGGGTTGTAAGGTAAGAAAACTCTAGGAGGGAGAGAGGGAGGGTGGTAGCGAGAGATGGAGAGGAAGAGAGAGAGGGGTGAAGGGGAGCAAGAGAGGGAGGGGAGAAAGAGATGAGGGAGAAGAGGGGAGAGAAAGGGAAGAGAGAGAGGGAGTGGGAAAGAGATGGGGAGCGAGAAAGATAGGAAGAGAGAAGGGTGTGGGAGAGAGATGCAGAGATAGAGAGAGTATAATTTGCTTATGTATTTTTGTTATATTTGTTGATGTGATGCTTGGAAAAAAATGTAAATTCAGAATTTCAATTCAGAAGTTACGCCTGCATTGCAGACTCTAATCTATGTTGTAAAATTTCTCATCTTTTATATGTTTCAGAGTGAGGAGTGTTGCCATAGTGACTGACAATTTAAAATAAAATATTATATCTTTTGAACGGGAAAAAGTCTTAAAACGTTACTTAGAACAGGATGCTGAAACCCATAAATTTTTGGGCCATGTTTTTCACGTGATTTTAGTTAAACAGCCCAATCTTGAACTTTTCATGACTAACAATAAAACTGCACATTTTTTGCAGATTTCCAACTTCTCTCTCTCTCGTGTTTACCCAGAACAAAAGCCAACATGTCAAGTTAGAGATTTTCACCTTTTTGTGAGAGGAGACGTTTGGACAGCTGCGTTATAAGTACAGACTATTTATTCGTTTCTTTTCAAACACATTCTTTGACAGATCATTTTCACCTCACAAAATCTGTCAGACTTTGTTCTAGGAAATTCTTTCAAACCTGCTCCATGGAAGTCAAACAATACACGTCATATACTGTATTATTATGGTTTAGCAAGAGAGTAAATTTTGCCCTTTATAGCTGTGCAATACTCAACAGGGCCCCTATGATAAAGAAGGCGGCTTCTATGGCATGTTCTATAGACTGTGGTTTCCATAGAGAGACCTATCTATTTACACTTACATAAGTATTTTTACACATGGAGATAGTGGATGATATCATGTCTCGCTTGCCAGGCAGAGGGTCAATCCGGTCAGCACTCTCTCTGTCAGGTCTCAAGCCAGAACTCTACGTGATCATGCACACAGATTTGTTTTTTTTCAGTGACACATCTAAAATGAAATGACATTTATCTCATCTCAGATCAACAGAGGTTTGATTTTCAGTCCATTGTGATATTTGATTTCTCCCCTTTCTTTTTTCCTCATAAACAGCCATATTCGTTTTCATACGGACCATGCGTGTTCCTGATTGGCTAATCCACATGTCAGTCACGCCCATCGGAACTGATTCAGATCTTTGTAAAGTATTGAAGAAGTGTATATTTTGGATCCCAGGCAAAAGTCTCGCCCATTGCCTCACTCAAATTATTCAAAACCTGTTCTAC